GCTCTGTGCTTCTCCAGGCATCTTCCCCAAATCCCTGCGGAGAGCCCCGCTCCCGCAGTCCCTCCGAACACCGGCCCCTCAGCCGGCTTTCTGCCTCTTGCAAGCTCTTCTAACTGGAATAGGCTGGCTTGAAATAAATCAGGACAAAATGAAGTTTGGGGAGTCGAGCTCAGCCTGGGACACAGCTCCGTGCCTACAGGAGGCAGCCATACATCATTTAGGAATCTAAATTTACCATCCTTCACACATAAAGAGGCAAACTTCCCTCTTTTTTTTTTTTCTTTCCTTTAATTACCATTTAATTGAATAGAGCAGCCCACGAGTAAGTGCTTTAAGAAAATAAAACACGTTCGTCAGACTGTTCTGAATCTGGTGTGCAGCCGGTTGAATGCGACCAGTTGAAATTGGAAGTCTTACGGAAAGAAAAATCCTTTTTCCAGTTCCCGTTTCTGACTCTTGTCCCAGCTTCTGCAGGCTGGAGGAAATGAGCTGCTCAAACGCAAATATTTAGCAAATGACAAGCTACGCCGTATTTTTTCAGTGGCCTATTAGTCACGGCTTACCCGGATCCGTAGGCACGAAGTGGCTGATCGTCTGAACCCGGCTGCCGTGAAGCTGGAGGCACGGGGCTACCTCTATCCCTGGGGGCTGGGGACTGGGGGCTTGTCACCCATCGCAGCGGCCGTGCAGATGTGTGAGACCCAGCCCTGAGGCCCAGCCGGCGTTGTGCTCCTGCCCCTGGCCCATACTAATTAAACCACAGGCCTTGCGTTTGGCTCATTCCGTAGTCCTTCATCTCAGTACTTCGTAACAGATCAAAACAAGCAAATCCACGTAAGGAGGCAACAGGCTGTTGTAGATGAGAACGTGCTGCATTTTCTGCCTGCCTATTATTTTGACGCCAGTGAAACTGTGTGTAAACTCTGTGTGAAGAGCCCCTCGAGCTCCCAGCGCACCTGCTACGGGCATCGGCCCTGGGGACAGGCCCCGGCTCCCTGCTTCCACCTGAGCTGTATTAATGCAGCACCAGACTCCAAAACTCCAGAATTGAACCAAATGAAACCAAAACCCAAACGTATATTCCTAAACCCTGCAGAGGGAACGGACTTATGCAGTGTCAATTACATATCTGTATAATTGCCCAATTATTGGCCCCCGACACAGATGTTTCTCAGTCTCTCACACGCAAGAGCTGCGGCTTTAAGTGAGCTCCACTGTGCTGATTTTGGCGTTTCTTTCCCTTTGGATTCTGCTGCAGTTTTATGTTCACCAAGGACTGAAGTTGGGAAAACATAGGCACTCCCTTACATACGAAGCTTTATTAAGTTGGGATCATGCTCTCTGTTGGCAGGCAGAGGAATAGAGAGACAGAGGAGAATGAAACTGGGAAGGGAAAAAAAAAACAAAACAAAACACAAATAACTTTCACTCTTCAGAGCAGGCACGCCTTCTTACTCCAGCTCCCGCTGCCGATCATTCATCCCGCTCCTCTCAGCTCCCAGCCAGTAAAGAGTCAACATCTCCTTCCTATGAAAACATGAGCTCTCCTGCTCCTGAGCCATACACCAGAAAACACACTGACAGGGACTCTGGAGGATCCTGTTTCTCAGGATGGGGTCGCATTTCCACGGTAGAACTGAAATATCTTTGATTACAACAGAAGCAAGGTCAACGGTGCTTTGAAGCGTCTTATTTTTGCATGGCACGCGTATTATCTAACTTGATTACAGTCCGGACCTTAACTCCTTCGTTCACAACTAGGGATGCATGCAAAGGCTCGTTGGGGGAAAGCGCGCAACCTTGCATGATTAATACCATGTGCACACGCGTGTATTTATAAGAGGGATGTACTGTGCTGTGTGGTAGGTACGCACATCCAAGGAGTGTTTGTCCAAGAACTATGTGGCCCAGGGAGGGACCCAAGTACGCACAAGCTGAGAGCTGCCGCCGCTGGAGCCGCACCGCAGGAGCCACACAAACGAAGCCCAGCCCAGCTCCGAAAATGCTGCTGAGCTTTTGCGTAACACAGATCAATGGGTCAGACTTCTAGTTTCCCAACAGCTTTCCCTGACAAATGCCAGAACAGATATCAGTGAAGTCAAACAGGGCAGCAATAACATCACTGCCAACCAGCGTGAAAATTGGCAGAGCCTGGCACCAAGGACTGCCTATCATCAGAGACAGGGCATGGCCCGGCGCAATGACGAACCCACTTAACAGCACTGTAAAATTAGCCATTTATGAAAACAAATTGAATACTGCAGCAGAGGGTGACGTAAGGAGAGTTGGCTCCAGACAGAAACAGAAACTCCTGTAGCCTGGATTAGCAGAAGAGCTCCTTTCTATCAGGGCTCAGGCGCAGGAGCTGATAACAACTCGGGTCCTACATGAGATTTTTAACAGACGGGCAGGCTTCCCCCACAGGCACGCGTGGGGCTCCTACACAACTCGCAGTGACTACTTGCACGCCAGGCAGGAACGAAGAGCAGCAGGGGCAGAGGGTGGGGGGCAGAAGGCAGATGAGAGTACAAGAAGGGCTCTGGCAATAAGGTGTCCTCCAGTCGGTCCTGCCCTCCCCACCAGATCTGCAGTCCCACCACTTCCCACTTTGCAGAAGTTGGGGTGAAACTCGCTCCTGGCAGCGTCTGCAGACTGACCTGCTCCCTGCCCGCCCCCAGCACCCAGAAGGGCTCTGGGTGTCGGCGGGGTCCTACAGATGCGGCGTCAACAGCAGAACAGGGCTCCTGCGTCTGTCACATCCCAAAACAGTGAAAATGAGAAAGCCAAGCGTTTTGGCAGCCAGAACCCTTGATTTCCTCATTGAGGGAAGCGTAATCTCTCCCTAAGCTTGCTGCAGGTCTGGGAGGCTGTGGTGTGCGGAGGATACTCCGAGTGAGTTCCTCTTGGACCTCTTCCAGGTGTTTACACACAGAGCCAAACCTGGCTCCTCTTCAAGAGTGTGTGCGAGGGGGGAAGGGGGAGTTTAAAAATAAAATAAAAATCACAAAGTCCTCCCGAGCTGAGCTGCAAGCTCAACAGTGCTAAACTGGGGCATTTATTTTCATTTTTCACAGTGGAATGTTATTTCCATGCATAAAATGGGTCAAGTGTTTTACACAGGCAACAAACCAACCTCCCCCATCCAATTAAAGTATTTTACTACAAATGATCTTTGTGTGTGTTTGTCCAGGTCCCCTATTGTATGAATTACAGATACTTGCACCTAAGACGGACACGGGGTCCCAGGTGCTGGATTAAACACAAACAAACACACGGAGCGCATTGTGCCACTGGCGAGATCTGTGCAAACCCCAGTGCTGCCCGCCCTAAGTTGAAAGGGAAGCACTTCGAGCCCTGGGGTTTAAGTTAAGATTGGGAAACAGAAGAGTGGAGCATGAGAAAGCCAGGGGAAATAATGCAAGTAATGAACTATTTCTCCTATGAAATTGCTCGCCTGGCTGTCCTACTACAAGCAAAGGGGAGCAGCCCTTGCCCGGCACCTCCTGCCCACACACTGCGTCCCCCTCCCCACCAGCGAGCCGAGCAGCTGGGACTGGGGAAAGTTAAGGAGCCGCGCTGCCGAGTTCATCTCCCTTTCTGTTTTCCCCAGGACAAAGCAACTTTGCCGAGAGGCGACAGTGGCGTGGGTCGGGGACGGGGCAGAGGAGGCGGAGGAGATGGCAGGGGGCCGGTGGCAGGGCAGCGAGCGGGGCTGGTGGCCACGGTACCCGCGGCACAAGCATCCGCCGCCTTCTCGTAGGAAGTGACTCCGGTTAAAGGGAAAGGGGAAATCCTCCCTGTCTCTTTAAGGCATCCTAGGACATGGAAACTTCGTACTTTCAGGGAATCTCCTTGCCAAAAGAACTGTAAAACATGTCTTCCTCCCCCCCACCCCACCCCTGCCCGCTCCTCTTTCTGACTTGTTTTCCTTTTTTTTTTTTTTTTTTTTTTTTTTTAAGGGCATTTCCATTTTCTATGACTTCCTTCAGAGCAAAGATGGATGTGGCGACATTTATAAGGGTTTGTAACCCTCCGAAAAGTATCCGATTTCACGACAACTTCGCTGCACTTTATCACCAAAGCGGGGAGAGGGAGGGAGGCGGCGGGAGGGAGGGGGAGAGGGAGCGACCGCACGGGAAAAGGACCCAAATTCATGATGGGCTCATAAAATTTAAATAAGAAAAGTGCAATATCCCTCATTATTGTTCAGCTCAGACAGCTTAGACTGGTAGCTGCTTTTAGTACTAAATGGTTTTATAGGGCTATTTGACCTTACAATCATTTGTGTTACACTTGCCGTTTCTAAGGGGAGACAAAAATACTCGACATCCTCTAGCTGCAGCGCTAGTCCCAGCCCTAGCTGAGTGTCGAGGGGTTGGGAACTTTATAAACTCATTTGATTCATTTGAGGTTTCACAATAGCCAAAAGTTCCTTTATAGCTTTTTGGAAACCACATGCTAACATAGCATCTAAAAAGGTAACAGTGAAAGTACACTAAAGAGCTAATAAAACTAAGGAAATCGTAGAGGGACCTTCCACATACATTTCTTTGCAGCCACACACCAGACATACATTTCTTTTCATACATGCATACAAGCTACTTTTAAAAGCTCTACTTACAGTTTTCTGACCTGCAAATGAGTTAAAAACCCACCGTAAGAGCTCTCTCCCCTGTCTGCATCTCAATCCAGACAGACAGAAATACAGAAACTACCCAGGATACTGCCATTTCCCTATGCAAAAGTTTACATAACTTTTTCTGCGAGCATATACTTTCAGCCAGTTTGCCGAGCTCCACTATTCCCCCGAATATATATATAATAAACACAGCCGTGCATGTTTACACATGCACTCCCGTACGCACGTATGTTGCAAGGCACACGCACATTTAAATGCACACACACACACACTACACACACGCACGCCTACAGCTGGCTGCTCTGCCGGCTCCCGGAACGTAAAAGGGATGCTGCAGCCCCAGGCACGACGAACTACCTACCTGCAATGACAGCCGGAGATCTCTGTCCTCCTTCAGCTTTCAGCCACACTTGCAAAGTGAAGGCATCTCGGGGCAGCTCAATATCTGCCTTCAGCCGCAGCTGATCACCTTGTCCACTGAAATAGAGCGCCCTGCTCGGGGTAAGGGACTCCTCTTCGTCCTTTACCTCCCGCTGTTGCCTCCTGCGGGGGACATGCCCAGGCTCCAGCCCAGCAGTGGAGCGCCTTCCTCGGGCTAACCTGGTGGCACAGGTGCCCGGGGCAGTGTAGAGGAGCTGGCGGCTGTGCCTGGTGTCCCTTCTTGCCCTGCGGGAGCGCTCGTCCATCCCACATTCGGGTCCACTGGCTAGGGCTGTACAGAGAAGCGCAAGAGGCAGCAGCAAACTCCAGAGCTGCATTTCCAATCTTCCCCCCCCTTCTCCCCTGCAAATCCTCCCGATCTGCCAGCTTTGGGCTCCTCCTTGCCTTGACTTTCTTCTCTTGTTCACCCTTCTTGGTATTTGCTCTTTTTATAACCCTTCTCAGTTGCTTTTTCTTTTCTTTTTTTCTTTTTCTTTCTTTCTTTTTCCTGCTTATAGATTTTTTTTTCCTTAAAACAAATAAAAATAAAATAAATCAAAACTCCTTCTTGGTTGAAATGTATTTCTCTGTTCTTCCTCCTCTATCTGTCTTCTTCTCCTCTATTCCTCCACAGCTGGAATTCCTCTCTCTCTTCTTTTCTCTGCTGGATTTTCTTCCCTTTATTTTTTTTCTTCTTAAAAAAAACACACACACACACTCACACACACACAAAACAAAAAAAAACAAAACAACCCCCCCAGCTTTCTCCAAGACTCAGACCCACTGATTTCCCTCCCCCCAAAAGATGCTCTAATCTATTTATTTTTTTGGCCTCCTTTATAACATAAGCCACAACCCCCTCCTTCCCCCCAACCTCCCCCCCTCCCTTCTTCTCCACAAAATGAAAGAAAAGAGAAAAAGCCCCTCAGAAGATGAGTAAACAAGAATATGCTAATCTACTCTAGGGTGCTCCACCTTCCCAATTGAATGATTCCCATTAAAACTGCAGGGATCATGACTAATCAATCAGCTTGAAGGAGCAGATAGCTCCAGAGGTTCAAACACTTTTGCTGTTTTCTTTTTTCCCCCTTCTTCTCTCCTCTTCCTCTTTCCCCCTATCACTTTCCCCTCTCTTATTTATTTTTTTTAAAGAAGACAATCAAGATGAATGGATCAATGTGATAAAAATCCTGCACCCCCCTTTTTGCAATCTCCCCAGCTTTCTTTCTCAGTCCAGTCCAAAACACACATTCCTATTTTTTTTTCTTGGCAAAAGAGAAAGCTATTTCTCCTCTCAGACTCCCCGTTGCACTTTGCTGGTAAACCTTATGCTCCTCTGCAGCACATAAAGAGTCTTGAAACTTGAGTCTCAGATATTTTTTTAATTGCTTTCTTTCTTTCTTTCTTTTTCACTCTCTCTCTCTCTTTTCCTAATTCTTTCTTTTCCTCTTATTATTTTCTTAAAGTTATGCAATCAGCCAGGCTCCCCCTTTTGTGGTCCCCCTCAGTGCAGTTGTGTGCAGCTAATCCAAATGTTGCATCAAAAGGTCCCCATCGAATCATCAGGAGCTAAAAGGAGAGAAGCTTTTTGAAGAGCATTTGCCTTCCAGAAGCTGTAGCAACAGAGCAGGATTTGGCTTTTGAGTGCTCCCAAAGACTCCTGTTTTTTTTTGAAATAATAATAATAAAAAAAAATAATATTAATTTTATTGGTGGATTGAGTCAAAAAATCCTCTCTCAATATTGCTAATTTTTCAGTCTAAAGAATTCAGCTCCCCTGGTTTCCTTGGCTTAGTTGTAGCCACAGGTAAGATTCTGGCTGCTTGCTGGTTTGTAGATCTCTGTTTCTGAGCTGGGACGTTTCTTTTTTTTTTTTTCTCCTTTTTTTTTTTTTTAATATTTTTTTTTCACTCTTGAAAGATCTCAAAAGCTCCCCCTGATGGCAACAAAAAGGATTTTTCTAAGTACTTAATAAGTGGAAATGACTTAGCAGTAGCACAGCCTGAATCTACTGGCCACAATTCCATTCAGAAGAAGTGCAGCAGAACCGAGTGAAGTTGCAGTCTCAAACCCAAGAATTCACGTCGCCCTCTTCCTCCACCTCAAACGTGACGATGGCCACACCATCCTGCGGGCTTCGAACAGAAATCACTCAGGAGTTTTCCTGGGACTGTAACCTTACTGCTTTTGCAGATTACCCTGTTAGGATGAGCTTGTTACGGCTACTTACACTTCAAATATATGTGATAAAATTAATGAATGCAAATAGTGAAATGAGAAAGAATTGTTGCATACTCTCAAGGCTTCTGGGAGAGGGCTTTTCAGCTCCTTACTAATTTGCAAACACTCAGGAATGTACAATTGGCATCTGATTTTCAGAGATGTTGCACTTATCCACAGAGCCCCACAGAAGTCAGTAAGAAGCGCAGCGGATCGGCCCCACAGACCTTCCCTCCACAACAGCTCGACTTGCAATAAAGATACACAACACTGGCAACATCTACAAAGTTTGGAATACAAGACCTCAAAGCAATTAAGCCTCTCAACAATCAAGAGGAAATTGTTAGGTAGCAAACAAACTACACCACGGCATAAACTCCCATAAACGTCCTGAAGATCTCAGAGGGATGCAAAAAAGCCACTTATGCATGCGTGCCTGCTCAGCAGAAACAACTTAAGATCAGAGCCTGTGTATTCCACTTTGCTATTATAATTTAACACATAGAGGATACTGCAAGTCAAATGAAAAATCACAAAGTCGAAGTGAATGGGCTCAGCTTCAAATAAGAACTAAACCAGGAAGAGTCTTGATGCCCAGGACACTGCTTGCTCCAGCTGAAAACTCCCCCAACATCGATGGGAACTCTGCCCATGCCTGGAAGAGCAGGCTCTCTAGCTTAAATAACACAGCTTCCAGTTTTTCCAGTGGAAAAAGTTAATTCTGCAAAATCCAAATTTTTCTTAGGGGCATTATGATTTGGCTGCAATCATTAAAGAAAACAATTGAAACATTTCAATTCGATGGCACTGCAGCATTTCGTTTTGAACATATTTGACCTTATACTCTTAAAATAGCGATGGCAAAAGCAAGTGCTTCACTGTTACCAAAACACAACACGTCAATGCCATGGGTTATAATTCCATTAACAAACTCAAGAGTATTCCAGCTACAGAGGAAAGGACCAAATCTTGACTTTCAGTATTTACGGTAGACAGAAGAAAGTATGAAAAGATGAGATTTACCTCTCGAGCACAAATTACATGTTCAATCAGTTTTATTTCCAAGACATTGCAAAAGCATGAAGGAAATGTGGTGCCTAAACGCTTGAGTCCGGAACGATAAAGAACAGAGAGTGGAAGAGTGATGTGATTTTCGGAATAGGGAGTAAATCTGGGATTCCTTAAGTCCATGGGTCAGATCTAACTTCCCTGACAACAGATGAAATTCTACCCTGCACAGATGGACATTTATTTTCTGCTTAAGCCAGTACTTAAGTGATGTACGGGCCTTCTGGCAGGGGGGTTTCTACCCAAGGAGAATAATCCTCCTGTTGAACTCGAGTGGAGTATTCTCCTAAGTAAAGGGAGCAGGATATTGTCCTGCATCTAGAGATATTTTCACTAGAACAAGAAAAAAAGCACCAAACCCTAGATACATGTATAGAGACAAGAATTAAAATAGATATTTATGATATTATGCCAAAAAAATAGCATTGAGCTACATGCTGCATGCAGTCATTATAAGTAGAAATACTCAGCAGGAATCTTAGCTGAAGCTGCCAATAACTCCCAGGTTCAAGACTAGAGCTGAGTGAATAAATCATAACAAATAATGGTTTTGTCAAATTTTGACTTTTTTTTTCCTCCTATTTGCAAGCAGCCTGCAAAACCTCTCAAATATGTTTGAAATTATATGCCCATTTCTCCCTCATATTTAGTCTTTCTCCAAGGCCAATTAGCACACGATTTGCTGTAATGTACACATTTTCACATTTGTTCTGCGGTAATTAGGCGAGGAAGTCACACAGCATTATTTTTGGCTCCCTGGGGGTCAGGTTTAATCACTCATGATATAGTAAAATTACTAATTCTACATACGATGGGAGATTCCATAGTTTGCAATACTTTTCTTTAGAAATGGTGTTGGATCTTCAAATACTCACGCAAAGGTCAATTAAAAACAACGTTTCTTGAAAGGCAAGCTGAACAGTCTGCCAGTTACGGCTGAATTGAGGCCCTACTATTTTGAGCAAGTATTTGTACATAGTTCTCCTCGCTGTGCACAACTCCATCAATCACAGCAGAGGTTTATATGGTTTTTACCCCTCACCGATATCCCAATCAAGTCTCTCCGAACTTGGCCTGGGTTGACGATGGCTGAAACGCAATCCAACAGCGGCTCTGTTCAGAATCAGACAGGGCCCAGACACCAGATTTTAATGCAACGTGTTGGATTCAGGGAATATTTTATGCAATCAACAATGGTATGATAGGAATCACGCTGCCTCCACAGAATAGCGAGGAATGAAACCCAAAGAGCCGAGAACGGCTTCAAAGCAACAGGGATTTGGGCATTCCAGGTTGTGGATCCCATAAAACCCAACACCTCACTGGAGACAGAGCCACGCGCTCGGTGTCCAAAGGGCGAGACAGGAACTACGTGGAACGTGGCCACAGCCCCTCATGAGCCCAGGAAAAGGCAGGAACACTACTAACTGAAGAAACAACAATAAAAAAATGCCAAATATGTTCAATCCTGGAAAAGATTTAACAGAAGACCTAATTTGGACTCAGTGTAAATTTGCCAATTTTTTTTTTGTAAATGTTTTCTCTATCTGTTCTTCCTCCTCATATTTTCAAAAGGACAAACAATTAAAAGCCTGTGCTCTGCCTTTATCCTCGCACTCCATGCTAATGAAAATCCTGAGTTTCTGGGTGCTTTGCTAACTATCGCCTGCATGTTCATAGTGCCACATAACTATGCTAACTTGAGCAGGAATCAAAACACCAGTACTACATTTCCTTTATTAGTGGGTAAGAGACTCTCCTGCTGCTGCTCTCCCAGTTGTCCCATGTGTGAAACACACACTCTGGTACTTTACGTCAATGAAACAGCCTCATGTCAATTTGAAATATACCATTTAATCCAGAAAAGTTTACTGAACAATTAAGAACTGCAATAAATGACAATCAAGACTAAACACATAATTGATGGCTTTATGAAGGTATCAGTAATTTTATAAAGTAATTTGCAGTCAGTGGCTATAAATTTCTATTTAAACCTGGCATACCACTCTTTTTTGCCCTGCAGAGAGCTGTATTACCTAACAATAGTGATGCCTGTTCGCCTGGAATTCAGTTACTTTATCCTTCAAATTTCCCACATGAAATATCGTATTTCCAGAAAACTTACATATTCTTTGTATTTTTTTTTTCACCGCATTCTTGAAATACATTCTCGGGGGTTGGGCTCTAATCTCTACCCTACAACATTGTGGTGAGAGCAAAAAGAGATGCTGCTCACCGTGGAGGACGTAAACAAAGGGGCAAAACCTTCCTCCTCAATTAAACCACGCAAATATTGATTATTGCTGTGGTCCCACCTGAATTTGGACTGCATACTTCATTTCTGGGCATTGGGGACTGGCTATGCAGATTAAACCCTCGCTCAGGTGTGAAGAGGGAACCACCAGCACCTGGGCTTGCTTGTCCACACCACAGCCCCACGGCCCCACACACACTTTGGGGACACACCGAGCCTCCAAGAGCAGCCCCAGAGGGTCCCTGTGGGGTGACTCCAGGATCAGGCCCCTCGCCTCCCACCC